AACATTGCCAAATATGTTCTCCCATGCAGTGGGCTTTCTTGTTGTTTTGTTGATTGTTTCCTTTGCTGTGCAAAAGCTTTTTTTTTTTTGATGTAGTCCCATTTGTTTATTTTCTCTTAATTTTCATTGCCTTAGGCTGTGGGCGCTGCCATCTTTGAGGGCAGGGCAGTCAATGAGCATATTCCCTCCTTATTGGCTATGGGCGCCACCATCTTTGTGATGGCATGAGGGTCAATTATCATATTCCCTCTTTATTAGATAGGATGCCCTTTGCTCCTCTGGTTATAAAGTTCTATTTGTGAACAACTGAATACATGAATTAAAGTAGCTTTTTAAAGCTTCCTCATATTAGGATATTCAGGACAGTTTTGTTCAATCTTTTAATACTGGTAAAGACAATGGATATGGGACTCTAAGCTACAATTTCTTCTGTTTCAGTCCAGCTCCTGCCCTACGGCAGCAGCATGGTCCTCAGATGCCTAATGTGTACCAGATGACTATGGGTGATGCATAAACACAGTTGTTTTTAACCTCAAGAGCTACTGGTCAATTTTCACATATGTTAGAAACTGTTTCTATGTTTACAGTAGTGATTATAAAGTTTCTTCTTAAAGTACATGCAAAAATGATTAACTTAAAGAAAAATATTAAGTAAATAAAAATACAAGTAGAATTCTGATGCAGCCTAAAATCTTAAGGTGGTATGACAATGACTGACTTTTGGCAAACACTTCCTTAAAATAATTTAGACTCAGAATAGCTCCATGTTTAGAAACCAAGCAGATGGTGGTGCTATTGATTGTGGTTCTCTGGGGCATGGTAGAAGAAACAATGCACTATTTTTCCATTAATTGTCGGCAAAAACTTTGCCACTGAAGTCATTGCTAAGTGATGTCTCCTGATGCCACTTTGATCTAAAATGAGATCGTTAGGTGTGTAGCCTTTATTCTTCCATAAACCTTTTATATTTTTTCTGATGAAGTAACAAGTTTAGGTGGCTTAAAGGCTCCCTTAAGTAATAAGAGTAAAATGTTCCTGATATTGGAAAAGCTCAGGGAGCAGCTTGACAAAATACTTTTTTTCTTGTAATTATGGAAAATTTTCAAACCAGCAATAAAACTAGCTTATTCTAGTTTCATTGACCTGCATTAAGTATAAAATATAAATGTATCAGAAGTAAAGCTGTTAGCTTAAGAAGAATTGCTTCTGTCTTGACAGTGTCCTTTTTATATTAATAACAGTCACAAACACTGCTTTGGCCTATTCTTGGACATTCATTATATCTCCCCTAACCCCCTTTTTCCTTTTTTATTATCTTCTTCAAGGTGAGGCAATGGAACAAGGTTTACGAGATTGCTGTCGATCCATACGTATTGGAAAGATCCTGATTCAGAGTGATGAGGAGACACAAAGAGCCAAAGTATATTATGCCAAGTTCCCTCCAGACATTTATAGGAGAAAAGTCCTTCTGATGTACCCAATTCTCAGTGAGTGGCTTGAGTTAAATCTGTAACCTTTGGTTAGAGTTTAAATTCAATTTAGTGCCTACCTTCTGGGTACCATTTATAAGGCAAAAACTGTTTTTAAATGTTTTTTTTCTCACTTAGATTTGGAGTTGCCCTAGGCAGTTCACTGGAGAATTTTTATTGAGTGATAAGAGAATATACCGTAGTCAAACTTTATTAGTTCCAAAGAGCTTCTTTCTTAGGATGAACACATTGAGGCAACGGATCTAATGAGGCAAAATATATAGAATACAGAAAATATATTGAAATATGTCCCCTCACTAGCCCAATGAGTTATAGCATTGATTTTCTCAAGGATGTATCTATCATCTCTGGAGGTAAATTTTTTTCTTTGTTGTATTTTGTTTTCTAAGCTTACTCAGATCATACATAGCATGGTCTCCTGGGGTTGGGATGGAGGGTGGGTGTTAAATTTGATATCTCAAATACTGAATGAATTTTGGGCTTGCTGTGCCTTTGAAAACTGTAACGTGTATGTTTCATGTCCATCATTAAAAATAATGAAGCTTTTCCCTAACCGGTTTTGCTCAGTGGATAGAGCATCAGCCTGTGGACTGAAGGGTCCCAGGTTGAATTCCAGTCAAGGGCATATACCTTGGTTGCTTGCACATCCCCAGTGGGGGTTGTGCAGGAGGCAGCTGATCGATGTTTCTCTCTCATTGATGTTTCTAACTCTCTATCCCTCTCCTTTCCTCTCTGTAAAAAATCAATAAAATGTATTTAAAAATAAATAATGAAGCTTTGCCTAATGGTGTCTTGTGTTAGATTATAAAACTACCTTTGCTTCAAATAAGCATCAAATACATTTTGAGAAAAATGTTAAAGTTTACAGTTCATTTGGTTGTCATTTGATTTCAGGCACTGGAAATACTGTAATTGAAGCTGTAAAGGTTCTTATAGAACATGGAGTTCAACCCAGTGTTATCATCCTACTCAGTCTGTTCTCCACTCCTCATGGTAAGTTCAGCATGAGGCAGTAACTGGGGTTCCATATGGTCGTTGGGTGGGTAAGTATGCATCTGTCCAGCCTCTCATCCTGATAAAAGTTTATTTGCTTCCACATTAAGTCTAAATCTAATTTTGGTAGTTAAACTTGTGTTTCTTATCTGTTAGCTTAGTGATAATATTTTACACCATTCTAATGTTGTTCAAATGGAAAAGCATGAACTAACCCCATGGAATGGGATTGTGATTATTTTCCTAGGGGCTCTGTTTGGTAGAGCCTGTAAATAGCCAAAAGATCTCTATATCTCCTGGTTCCTCATATGAGCACAAGAACGGCTCCCAAACATCAAGAAATTAGAGGTTCTCGATAGCCCTGTGGTCTTACTTAAGTAAGCTTTGCAGTGTGAAGCAGAGCAGAAATTTTTAAAGTTAGACTTCTGTTCAAAGGGCCTCGTGAGAAAACTATGTTCTCCATTTCTTGAGGAAGTTAAGCCTAATTTAAGACCATACTTTTTTTGCCATTCAATCTATGACAGTTATGAAAGTATCCTAATAAAAAATCATAGATGCATATAGAAATATTTCATGTAAGGAAACAATTTGAAAGTATGTAAATGACTTACAATAAGGGAATGGTTAAATAGATATATATTCAAAGGATATAATATTATGTAACTGTTAAATCATGTTTTTGAAAAATAATGACATCAAAAAAATCTATTTTGTGAATGTAAAAGTGCAGGATAAAAAAATAACAGCATTATTTAGTGTTAAATGTTATTACCAAGTTCTGAGATGACTAATACAAATTATGACTATTATTACTACCAAAATCAGACTTAGATTTAACATGGAACCTAATAAATCTTTCCTGAGCAAGAGAGGCTAGCCAGATGTGTAATACTATTTCAATTTTCATTTTAAAATGCACAT